AATATGATGTGAAAATGACCCATATGGTTTTAGGAATCTAATTTGTAATAACGGGGTACTCTACCTTCAACTGTGGACTACATACCACACTAGCTTTATCGATTTGACCCAGTATTTTCTATGACCCACAGTCCAAGCACAGGCTCATTAACGGGTCACCAAAGTCAGATCGATGAATCAAGGGGTCGCAATCCCAATTTGCAGATTACAAGTTCTCCCCTAAAGAGAGTTAAGTCACCACGACCTGATGCGACCACAGCTCTATGACGCATATGGGTATCTCTCGCACATGCATACGCTTCACTCAAAGGTGGATATCTGGCTTTCCCGAACGATCTATCAATATGCATGCCGTGTGATGGAACATGGATAAGGTTTTGGCCCCCGTCTCAGTAAGCCACCATCACACACAAGGGTCACACAGTCCCTCTGCTCATTTATCCGAGTATGTTTTTTGACCTCATCAAACCCATAAACCCTCATCGGTTTGTTCTTCATGGCCAAGTAACATAGGTTTTTTCCATCCGACTTGCCCAGATCGTTAAGCACAAATCGGTATCACCAAATCGTCGTTTGCTTAGTATGGTCCACGAGGGACCACATTCCTATTGAGTTCATGTTCCACTATATCATTTTATTTTACAAGCACACGTAAGACATTAAAGGGCACATAAACCCAACATCAAGTTCCATTCCTATGTAACCTTGTCAAAAAAAAAAAAGTATAACCTCATGGCCCTCACCTAGCGGACGTAGCGTGCAAAAACTGCAGCAATAGGTTTGAGATTTCAAAACCAGTAGGGCCATACAATGACATTGATAAAATTCATAAATATTACATGCATGCCTTTTGATCGTCAACTACTAACAAAAAGCTGATACAAAATTAATCAACAAAATATTTTGTTACACACACTACTAAACCTAGGTATGAGGCCTTCGTTTTCGCCCTCGAGTGGTGTGGTCTCATTGCTCAAGCTGTTCAAGCTCTTTCTTCAGATCCTTCTTGTTCACCTACGGATTTTCGACCACCAAAAAAAATGATGATCCAAAGTCTTGAAAGATAAATCAAGATATTATAAAATAAAGGAGAGAATGAAAAACAATGGATCACACCTTTCCCATATGATTCCTCTTGAAGGCATCGAGGACAAATAATTTTGTGGGAATCTGGAAGAATTGAAAGCAAGACAACAAGTTAGGAAAGTGCAAAGGGGAAAAAGTACAAGAGGAAACCATAGCCAAATAACCAAGAGAAGTTTCAAGCCTCTCTCGCTCTCTCTCCTGTGCTTCGATGCCTATTACGAAATCGCATTTTCCGCATCCCTCTCACACATACACACACAAAGCAAATATGCATGCGTGCACACACGCATCAGGAACAGAGAGTTGAAATCATGGATGGATGGCCCAGATTGACAACACGCTTCGGCATCAGCAAGATCTGGACCACCCATCCACCCACTATCCACTTTTCCATGCTAGCACACACTTGACGAAACAAACCCAACTCCAAAATATAAAAGAAAGCATGCACAAACCTTGTAGGGTGCAAGCTTATCTTTAGCCCAGGCCTGAAGCACTTCAAGGGTCATGGCCGGTCTTGATTCTTGCTTGGCTCTTTCCCTTGCACTAGCTTCAGGCACAATTACTGCACAAACAACTTGACCATAATCTTCATCCGATAAACCCAACACCGAGCACTCGGCCACATCTGGGTGCTGAAAACAACCAAGTTTTAATAATCTATCGGCATCAATCTTTAACATGAACATGCAGTTATTCAAAATCACAAGAGAGAAAAAATTGTCATCTTTTGACATGATCTTGAAATTATCCAGTGATTGTTACATCTTAAAATGATAGCCAAATATCGCAAACTCAATTTTGGCTTGAATCATTTTTCTAGAAGAATGTCAGTTTTTCCGTGATCAAGATCTCTAAATAATCTATGAGTAAACAGGTAGCAGGACAATACTATTCGACGATACACAATTCC